AAGTCTTCCTGATATCCCAAAATACAACGTTTTAGAGGTCCCAAAGTAATAAATTTTCTATTTTAGTCCTTTTTTTCTCCTTCCTGCTTATGTCTTAGTGCAGGTAGGTTCAAATAACGATTTAAATGGATGGTTTTATTACTTCAGTACTTCATTAGACGAAGTTCAACAACTTTCCTCTAAATCCCACTGCCCTCTACTGGCTGCACCAGCAGGGCCCACCTGCCCGCTGCTATTCCTTCTTCTTTTTTTGTCCTTGGAGTTTTTAAAATTGTTTTTGCATTTTGTTGTTTTGTTTTTGTTTGGTTGTGGTTTTTTGTTTGGGGGTATTTTCCCCCCTTTTATTTTAAGGTCAAAATCAGTGAAAAAACACGTGGTTAAAATCTACTACAGGAGGATCTTGACAAGGTAGGGGAAGTTGCTGGCAGGATGAGCTCCCTAAGGAACCCTCAACTTAAGATTTCAATCTTCTTGATCCAAAATACCCTTGCTGTGTGGATTTCGAAGTCACACAGCAGAGCCTAATTTCCAAAGGCCTAAAGGGAAAAAACATATGTTGGATTGGGAATTTCAGCACTGAGAGTTTAAATGTGTAGTTGAAATACTGATTTGGCTTTCTTTCCCCTTTCCCTCAGTTTTGGAGAAAACGCTGGGTTGCTATTTATTTGTAAATAAAATATTTAAGCAAGAATTTTGTAAATATGTTTCTATAAATTATACTTACTTATGGATATTAATATATAATTAGATGTTATTCCACCCCCTAGATATTTAATAGTTTTCTCCTCTTCCCATTCATGCTGTTCCATGTTCTACAGACAAATTCTGGTGACTGAGTATTTGAATAATCTCATCTGCTGGAACAGATTTTTTGTGTGGGTGAAATCAGATGGAGGATTAAGGATTAAGGATTTGAAATATGAGAGTCCAACACATCTTTGATAAACAGGTTGTTCAAATGAAACTTTCAGCTGTTTCTTTTTTTGAAGCCTGTGAACCTTCATCACTGCAGAGTGTGCAGCTGATGCATCCAACCCTCTTCCTTCTCCCTGACTGCTGTCCCTGAAAGCCACTCTCTTATCCTAGAGCTGTTCCGTCCGGTGCAAAACTCAGGTTATTTTTAACCTTGCCTAGTCCCACGAAATGAAACATTTGGAATTCGAGTGAGTGTGACGGCAGCAGCAGGCGCAGATATCCTGAGCTTTTGTGCTGCTCCAAGGAGCTCGGTGTCTGTTTCAGCAGAGGGCAGCACATGGTGACACTGGATAATTGCGTTTCACTTGACCTTTACAGTGATTCAGTGACTCCCACACTTCAGTATTCTCCAGACAGGGTAAATCTTGGAAATAATGAGGGGTTTGTCAGAAATCCTGCTTTTGCATATGTCTTGGTTATAGAGTTCCCAGGTTTTGAATAGACTCTAGCAGTGTTATTAAAAAATTAAAATAAGTTTTCACAGTCCTCAACTTTTATTTTGTCAAACTGCCAGTTCCAGAGTATTTTGTGAAGTTATTCAGCTGGACGAGAAGTGACTGAAGCTGGAAGTCAACAAGAATTAGATCAAATCCATTCTTTTTCACCATCCTATCTGTGGGCACCATTTTTTCTAGATCAGAACTGTCATGATATAAGGGTGAATAAGAAGAGGTAAATTAGTGGGTATTTTAATGAAAAAAGGAAAAGCTTTTAATCAGCACAAGCAGAAGAAAGTGGGGCTGCTTTGCAGGTGGTCACACTGCTGATCTCACCTGTTGTGTACAAAGAGGTTTCCAGTGGCTGCAAAAGGGAAGGTGCTGGGACCTGCTGGGCTTCGTTTCCACCCTATGGTGTTCTCATCTATACATTAAATTTAATTCTTTCCTACTTCTCACTAACCTTGTGAATGTAGTGTTTTGTCTTTTTTTCTTTAAAAGACTTTAGGTTTGAAAGTGCACTGGAGAAGTGAAGTGCTTTGTGAAATAGATCTCATTTCAGTGAAGGAAAGCTGTGCTTCAGGCTCTGTACTTTCTTTGGCTTTTGAGTTTAACAAATTTATTTGTTTGAGACAACTGGGTTGTTTATTTTCTTCTAAAGTGCCTTTCAGTGTTGGAGAATACTGTGTCTCTACCATGGCTAATAGATTAAAGTACTAAGAAAAAGGTTAGATTATAGGTAGGTGGCAGGTATATTTGAGTTAAAACTCAAAAGCTATCCTGACTCACTGATTTTATGATTTGGTTTTTTTTTTTGCTTTAGGTCAATATAAAATAGACTGCAGAGAGAGATCTTGGACTAAAATCCCCTTTTAGAATCAGAAGACTTGTTCCTTATGACTGTGCTCTGTAACTCAGAGAGAAGGAACAGGATGTGGCTTTTCAAGATGAGTGTTTGATCCTGTCTGCTCTCCCTAAAGTTTTAGATCTCAAAGTCTGCACCCCTTTCGAAAGTAAGGTGGTTTCTTTGTGTTTGTTCCACTTCAGCTAGGTACTCCTTCTCCTCTTCACAGTTTGCTCAATGTTGCACATACTTTTGTTTTCACCTATAAAATTTGAAACACACTTGTGCTGTCTATAAACAGTTTCAGGCATCATCATCTCCCAGAGCTTTCAGCTGTTGCTATAGAAGCCTAAATTCTCTTTGAGAGAACTTTCCAATAGAAAGAAGTTGATACTGCAGGAAAGTTGTCATGGAAATATGCAGCAAAAAGGGAAAGGAAATCTTAGTTTGATGACTATTACACAGGCTTGCCCAGCCTGGTGAAGTGGCTCCCTATCTGGAGATCTGCTTCTGCCCATTCTCTTGGTTGTATTCCAGTGGATTGGAAAGCTGGGGACTCGAACCTAAAGAAATAAATTATTTAACATTTATATAACCAAACATACCTCTTCAACTCAGAGAGCTTTATCCAGATTTGAGTTTCCAGTTGATGACAGACCAGGAGATTCCCAGGAGCCTGGCTCTAATGGGGGATGGAGCTGTGGCACAGCTCTTATATTTATGGCAATGATCACTCTGAAAGGATTTACTGATGTACCACGATTGAAATGAGGCTTTCAGAACCAATTTTTAAATGACAAACTAAAAATAGTTTATTCTTCAAGCTTCAGTGCCATTCCAGATTTGAACAGGAGCCCTTTGTGTCCAGCTAAATGATGGGATAAGCAGATCCAGTCCCATAAATTACTTATACCATCACCAAGTTTGGTTTGCTCTCTGGTTTCAAGCTTTTTGTGCCCCTCTTTCTAATGCCTCCTGATATCTAATAAATGTGATTATGAGTGAGCTGCCTTTAAATATCTATTACCAGAATCACCATGGTAACTGCTGTAAGAGTTTCTTGCTGGTAAAAGGTTTCCAGCTCCCCGAGATACAGCAGGGCAAAATGCTTAGGCTGTTGTTTTCACAGTTTGAATGAGATCAAAGAAGACAAAATAACATATTCCTGATTTTTGAAAGCACTGGATGTTAGTGGGACTGAAAATAATAAGATTTATTCTGGAGCCTGTCCTCAGGAATAGAGGACAGTTCCACAGGCAGGGACAGCCCAGGCTTTCCTTGGACAGCAAGCTCCTGCAGGAACGGGAAGATGTCACTCCCACTGGCTGAGCCAACACTTGGCCTTTCTTTCAATGCTATCAACAAGTGAACTAATTAACCCTAATGAAGGGTGCAAAATTGTGATATTCCACCTGCCACAGGAGCAGGCAAAGTTGCTGAGTGATTCAATGGGGAGTAGAAAAAATTGAACTGGCTTGTGTGTTCTCAAACTGCTCCATTTTCCTCTTGGCCTTCAGCTGCTGTGTACCAGGGCAGTGGTGTTAGCTGGGCAATAATCAGTGATTTCCCTGCTGTCCTGATTTCCAAATCTTCTTCCCTTCTCTCACATCTGCTTTCTGTCTTGAGCTCCTGTTGTGCAGCCAGTCAATCCTTTGCTCTGTAATGACAGCTGTTTCTATAGGCTTCCACATGAGAGTCACTAATGTCCCTCATGCAAACTGTTACCTCAGGGGGTTGTTTTGCTTTCATTTATTTATTTACTTATGGTGAACAGGTCACAAACTCCATAGGAGTTTCTTCTTCCTTTTCATGCTGCTCTCTTGCTTCATTGCGCTCCTACTTTAATATCTGCTGGAGATTTTAAATTATCACTTGCTTTTATAGGAACACAGAAAACTGAGCACCTATTCCTGCTGCTTTCCCACTTCATTGCCTGTGCCTCCTGCTTCTGGCATTTAGGTTTTTTGGTAAGAGAGGCTTCTGCTCTGGTAATGAGCTGTTTGGTGTGGCTGTGCTGCACGGGAAAATGAGACCTTGAGGAGAGGAGCAGTTTGCATCCACTTTGTGTGTGGGGGGACAACTGGTGCAGCAAAGCCAGCACGAGTGGCACTGAGCACGTTTGATGGGAAGATTGTGCCTGCAGGATGAGCTCATGCTGGTGAAGTGTTGATATTTGTCCTTACCTGCCTCATAGGCAACATGAGCCACGTGCCAAGATCTTTTTTGCTGAGCTTAAGGAATGCTTCTAATTCATTTTAGTTATAAGGTTTATTGAGTGCCAGATTTGCACCAAAGGTTTAAAATCTGAAGTGATTATGATCACCGACCTAGAGATCCAAGGAAGTAATTTCATAAGAAGTCTTGAAAGCAGAACCTGAGTCTCAGAATGGAATTTGCCTGCATTATACCACTACTTGTTTCTTAATGGTTCTTCTCTAGCATTGTGGTTAAATCTGGGAGAATCTCAGTGTTTGGGCACTTCAGATTTCAACCGTATGGTTCAATTTCTCAAGCCTGCTAAGCTGATTTAAAAGTTTAAGCAGTAGCAAACCTGTTTGTTCATACAAGCTGTCTAGAAGAAAGGAATTGTTGAACTTTAATTTAGATTCTCCCTTTTTTCTGGATTTGATTACATCATCAAAGCCAAATTTCTATGCTGAATTTCTGGGTGCCTCTGTATAACATGTCTGTCAAAATTGCTGATTTATATGGGAGTTAAAATCAATGAGACTGTAGACCCTTGCTAATTTGTGATATTTATTCAGTAATTTAGGTGATTTTATTTCCTGACCTGTAAAATAGATGAGTTAGTAAGCTACTACAATGATCAAGTGATTCTGATCAAGTGTCTGTAAAAGATGCCGAGAGGAAACACGAGTTGGGAACTCCAAGGCATTGCTCTGTGGGGAATCAAATATTGCCAAGAGCCTTTTTTCTGCAATCCTGATCTGCATTAGAGGCCTTGTTCCTCTCCTGGGACTTGAACTCCTCGTGCTTCCGGAGCTCCCTCTGTGGATTTGTCCTGGTTTGGTTCCTGCTGCGCTCCCCGTGATGATCCCACAGCTCCGCTCCCGTTCCGGCTGTCGGCACTTCCAGCACGAATCCCTCGGAAACAAAGCCGATACCTCAGGTCTGTCATTTGCATCCCCCTGAAACGCACCGAGAAGTTCAAAGCAGTGGGACATTGCTCCAGAATCCCATCGGGGTTTTTAATTCCAAGGCAGTCTCCAGCACGTGTCTTCTCTAGTACTTCATTTTGCTCTGCAGCTCTGCATTGTCAGTGATTTAATGGAATGTTTTTCTGTTCTGGGCTCCTTGGAGTTTCTAACCTGTTGGAATTTCTCTCCTGTTAGGTGATAAAATGCCAGCTTTTCCAGCATGAGATCCCTCTGGGACAAGTAAAGGGAGCAAGTAGGGTTGTGCAGGATTTTGCCTGGGTGTAGGCAGTAAAAACTTGCTGTGCTACTTGAACGTGGTAATTCTCTATGAATTGTTAATGAGTGCCACATTATAACCTATATAGCAGAAAACAGCAAGGAATAATGAAATAGAAAGTTACTCCCTTTCCCTTAAGTCTTTCTTGCTTTTAATTATTGAAATAAAATTTAAAAAAATCAGCTAGTAAAAAAGAACAAACAGAACAGTCTAAGTCTTATTGTCCTCTTTTGGGGAAGAGTGCTTAGTATTGCCTTTTTTGCATGTTTAGATTTACCCACATTTTGAATAATAGGGTGACTGCAGGAAAGCTCTTCTTGATTGTTGATGATGCCGAAGGAAGTAGAGACATTTGAAAATTGCAAAGAATAATAAACTTTGCATAAATGTGTGCAAAAATGATCAGTGATTTTTATTTTAAGTACATGAAGTGTGATGAGTGTTTCTTTGCTACACAGATTTCCTTTCTCATTTTGCCTTTTTCTGTGGATTGGCTTTTTTTTTTTTTTGGGAGAGGTAGATAAATAGTTGTTAACTCTTGAGTGTTCTACTCGGAAATGACAGAAATACTGAAAAATGCTGGCACATCTTACAGACTTACTTTTGGAACAGGCAGTTTCCTAATTCTATTTTTGACTGACTCAGTGGCTGTTCCCTTGGAAATTCTCAAGTTGTTGTCTGGTCTTCTGAAATTTTGGCAATAGGCACCAGAGGAAGCTGTTTTTCTTGTCTTCTATAGCACTCTATGTTCCATAAAGCATTATCTGCCTTTTTTTCATTTCAATTTAATTATTCTAGCCTCTTCCAGCAACAAGCATTTTCTCCACTTGCAGGTCAAAGCTGGTAGCCACAGGCTGAGCTCCTCAGGTGTTGAGTAGGAACACAAAAATGTGAGTAGTCTCTTGAGAACAGCGAAGGAAAAATAAATCCCAGTTGTCCAAGCCAGCTCACACAGCTTGCTTGTGCTGGTGGAGCCTTTTGGCAACAGTTGCAGGAGTTCCTTCCACACATTTGATCAGCAGCATCTTGTTGACTGAGCAGCAGTTGTTTTTGTCAAAATGGAAAGTGGTGCCCCATGATTCACTCTGCAAACGTCCACCAGCGGCGTGAACTTCCAGACATCTGCACTGCAACTGAGAAAATAAAGAAGTTGGGATCAGTTATGTCCAAAAGGGAAGAAAGCATGGAGTAAATGCTGTCCCAAAGCCACGGCCTGACTCCACTAATGCTCACTGTCTGATGCAGGCTTGCTTTGTAATTGCTTTTGGTTAGCTAACTCCAGACAGCAATGTCCCAAGCCTTACAGCTGAATTAGGGACTTGCTTTAAAAAGACATTGTTATTGACGTAATGGCCTTGTTTATGGAATTTCTCTCCCTTGTAATTAAGATTGTTTCATGCACAAATGCAGTTAAATATGGCATAAGTATCTGTAAATGCAAAGTTATTTTAAACCTCATTCCTTATGTGAGCCTTTTTTCCACACTATTCATTTGCTTCTCAAATGGGCTGTGCCACTCAAAATTCTGCCCTTTGCCCATTTTATTACATCCTTATCCATGTTTGTTCTGATGGAATTGTACCATTAATGCAGTTTACAACATAAAGCCTTGAAATTCCTCAAATGCAGTATTTTAAAGGTATTAATTGTGAGGTTTGATCTTATTTTCTCATACCTTGTAGGGAAGTTGTGAGAGCAAGTGCATTGAGCAGAATGCAGGCAATATGTTCACTGTTATTTTGTCTGTCAACCAATTTTGCCAGCTGGGTGAGAAACTAGCAGATACTTGAGGAAAGTTTATATTGCTACTTTGAATTGTTTTCTCACCCTGGCTGTGTGAAAGTAATCATGGTTAAGGTCCTGGCTTTCTTTGAGCCTGGCCAACTCATTTTAGCTGTTTGTTTCTGGGCTGTTTTTTCATTAAACAGAAAGGCAATTTATCAACTCAGAAAGTTTTATGCTGTATAATTATTTGGTCTAAGTAAGGAGATTGGGTAATTATAGCCATAAGGGCTACCAGAAAACCTCTAAATAAACAAATATACTGTCTGGTCTTGTTTGGTTTGGGGAAATTCATCACCACTATTCCAGGCTGTCTCCCCAAGATGAAGTATGTAAATGTTGTGACTGTCTCCTTACAGCCAAGCATTTAATTTTCAGGTTTCGGTCAAGTTATATTTATCAAATGTATCCCAAAGATATTTGAGAGTGCAATCCAGGAGCTCATCTTGCCTCCCCACTCCCTCATCTCAGTTCTTTATTTCTCTTGGCTGGAGGACAGGAAAACCTATCAAGCTGCCAACACTGTTATCCCTCGGAGCCCAAACAAACTCACCAGCAATGGCAGAGGGGAAGAATGCTGCACTCTGAAGAGGGTTTTGTTTCTTCAGCCAAAGAAGCTTCTCAGCAGGGTGTCTGCACCTGATGTCCCTCTTGTTTGTGAGCTCAGGGTCCAGGTACCTGCACCTGTTTGCCCTGAGCTGGTATTTTTGAGCTGCATCTGTTGAGTTGTGAAGGTGGTCCATGATCAGAGCAGAGGGATAAGCTGCAGTCCCTCCCTCCCCTGGGTACCCAAGTGACCGAATTTCCTATGCCTGCATCATGTGTGGGCTCACTTCCTGGGGGAGGAGGAACACTGCATTCAGATCAAGTATCTACAGGAACTTCCTCCTTATCTGAGCTGTGAATAATCTCAAGAACTCTGAATGTTGTGAGAAAATAGAAAATGGTTAAGTTCTACAAGCAGTCACACAGCCTGACCTCGGATATTGAAGAAACTGTCAAAATAGGCTGGATAGAAGGATTGATACATTGTGGATGTTGGCAAAGTTGGAATAGCACCTGACTAAATTTAGGCACTTAACACTAATAATGTCTGCTTGAGACCTGCTAAACACAGAGCTTTATCCTGTGCTAAATAAGTAATGGTGTGCTCTTTTGTCTTGTTCTGTCATTTTAAGGTAAGGCAAGAGCTCATTAGTCTTAAGGAAAGTTGGATCCCAAATCCATAATCTTCAGAGAAGACATGGCTTGGACTCAATCTGTTTTTAAGGTTTGGTTACTCTATGATAACAGTAGTGGTGCCAACACTGAGCTGAAACAAATTTACTCTTGCATAACATCAGCTTCCTTCAGGCCCCTTTGGCACCTCGAGTAAGGGGGCTGCAGTAAGGTTGGACTATTTAGATCCATCAACACTTTTTAAATATTATAAATCTTTCCTATTTCTCTACTAGAAACATCTACTGTAGTATTAACATTACTTAAATACCAGGTTCACGCTGTTGGGAGGGAGAATTGCTGATCTGTAGTCACAGGCTCAATGTCTTTGGTCAGAGACACCAGGGGGTGATCAGAGCCTCTCTAGAACAGAATTGGACAAAAAGCCCTGTTTTAAGCATGTTGGTTTTCTGATTGAAATTTGGATTTGATGTCTTTGCATCCCCTTTGTCTCCTTCAACTTGATACTATCTCTGCTTGCTTTAACTCTGTTAAGACCTCTGGCCTTTTTCTTCCTGTTTTCAATCATGAAATTATTTTCAAAAATCTGAAGGAGGAGGAATGTTTGCAAGCATTTGTTTGCTCTTTTCCTTTATTTGCTTTCTTCTAAATAAAGAACATATTGACCCTTCTTGGGCAGCTCAAGTCACTCAGGAGACTGATTCTGGTTAGTTTTGTAAAAGCTTTTCTCTTCATACATCTTCCTTCCCTACACCCACTTTTCCACTTTGTTGAAGCAATGATGCAGGCAAGGGAAATGTCTTAAGGTGTCCTGGCTGTGATTCCTGGCACTCTGGGGGATGTATTATTGTGGAATAGAAAAAGCTTTTGAAAGCTGCTTCTGTGTTTTCCTCTGAAAATGCCTTTTTTCTATGCCACCTCCTTGCCCTTTCTCCGTGGTCTGTGCTGCATGTTTTTGCTTGATTGGATCATCCAGACCATTTTGTGGTTTATGCTGTGCCCAGTGTCCAGTCCTGCACTTGGGGATGATGGGACCCTGAAAGAAGCTCTTCATCTGCTTTAAGGGTTGAAGCATCTCAGTGTTTTTGACGTAGGCTACAAATTGCTTTCTTGCATAAATCCTCCTTGCTTTGATGAAAATATAACATTTGTCATTCCCCTGAGTAAGCGAGTGCCTGTGTGTGTGTGCTGAATGCCGAGGCGCTGGTGGAGCCAGCTCACTTCTCTGTGTGAATCATTTCTCAAGCAGCTCTCTGTATCTCTCTGCAATGTGGTTTTCCTCTCAGGGAAGCACTCAAGCCCTGAATTTTCAGTCTGGCTTGCACATGCTGTCAGAAGCTAGTGGGAGACACTTTTCTTTTTAACGCAGAAAAGAGGACAAGCTTTTACTGTAAGTATTTTATTCTATTATTTTCTTTTATGGTGGGAACTGTATTCTCTCTAGAAGGATTCTTGGGTCAGTAATGTATTCGTAGAGTGAACGAACCTGCTTTGCTCAAAAAAACCTTTTTCATGGTATCTCAATGTAAAACTAAATTTAATTAATTAAAAATAGGGTAAACAAGACTGTGTTAGCTGAAAATGGGCTGGAGGTGATCTAAAACCCATTACAACCACAGAAAGAAGTCCCCTTATGAGAGCTGGCTACTGTATTTTCCTCCTGCTCAGCTGCGTAGATTTAACGACAGAAGGGGTGAATCTGTTTCTGTTCCTGCTTTCTCCTCTGGCAATTTACAGTTGTTCCCTGACAGTGAAACGAAGCAGGAGCATAAACACAGTTTCCTCTGCTGCTGCATGAGTCCAGTCAAGGAAGGGCAGAAGGGAACGGGCTGCTGAGCCAGGAGCTTTGGCAGCTCATGTCTGTGGGAGCAGGGAGAGCACTGAGGGCACTCCAGGTATCTTTACAGCTCCATGGCACAGAGCTGGTCAGGTTCTCAGCAGAACCCTTTCATTACAGCACCTCAACTGTTGTCTTTAAAATTGTATTGTGGAGGAAGATTGGTCATAGAAACAATTGTAATAACAACAGCATTTATAGAGCAGACAATATGACAAAGTTGTAGAGATGTTAATTAAGCCCTATGCATGTGACAGTAAATGATTAGTGGTAGAACTGGTTTGAGAACAGGGATTCTCTACCTTTTTCTCTTATGTACAGTTCCAGATATCCCTTACTGATCCTTTCTAGTTTGCATGTTTCTTTTTAAATTAAAGTGTTCTTTGCCCTGTAACCTCAGCAGGAGAGAGGATGTCTGATTTTGCTCAAGCAGTGTTGTTTGCACAGTTGGACAGGTGGCTACCTCAGAAATTCTTCATCCTAACATGCACATGGCTATGTGTTACCCCTTCCCTTTCTTGTGCAGTTGTAAATTGTAAAACAATTTAATTTCATTTTGTATCCCACAACAGTGGGTTATTCAGTCTATCAGTGGCCCCCAGAATCACAGCTGCAAACTGTTGAGTACTGTTGCTTAGATATGTTCTGTTCCTGTTATGAATATTTTTTAAATGCAGAAGTCCTCTGGTTTCTCCCGCAGCTTCGGAGTTATGTCCTCATCTTTGCAAAGAGCCCTTCCTGTCAGAAGTTCACGCTGTTGCTCATAAATGCTCAAAAGTTCCTGGTTTATGAACTTCAAGTGAGCTATTCTGCACTTTAATGGGAGATAAATATCTCCTTAAGGGATAGCTTCCAGATCTCAATTATTTCTCTGCACTGTGATGGATGGAAAACGGGAGTCAGGGAAACATCCCAGCATGTGGCAATCTGTGAGGCTGCTTGCTTGTGTGCTGCGTGACAGATGTTGATTTATCCAATTTTTGCCTTTTTTTTTCCTGTGGGGTTCCTTTTCAAAGCAAACAAATGAGTCCATCTTGATAAATATCCTATTTAGTGAGCAATTATTATCCAAATTTTACAAATGGAAAAACTAAGGCATGGGAAGACTGCATGGCTGAGGGGGTATGATGATCCTGTGCTGAAGCTGAGGATGGAACTGGGTGGAATTCCATGGAATGTGTTGCCTCTGGTATCATCCCTCCCTGGTCTTGAGGGGACAGGGAATCTGCCAGTCTCTGTACCAGTATGTACCAGTCAGGATTACCATGTAGCCACACGCTGTGCATCTCTGCTATTCCCAAAAAAGTCATCATTCCTTTTCTTTCTTGTAGTTGCATCTACCCTACAGAAAATTGTAATGACAGGTAATTATCAGGCAAACCACTTGTAATTATTCTTAATTTCTTCAGCAATTATATGCCTCTTGCTCTATCTGAAATGAAAGCTCCTTTTCTTCCTTCTTGTGAGTTAGCAAAACATGAAGTGGCCAAATGTGTCACTTGCTTTGTGCTGTATTCACTGGGACAGTAGTTCAAAGAACATGGATTAATGAGCAATAGCTGCCTTGAAATGGCTCTAAAACATTTTTGTTCTCAACCTGAATTTACTGAACATGAATTAAACCCATCTATTCGGGACAGAGTCATATTGGGGAAAGCCAAGAGTGACCTAATTCTTCATGATTATAACATGGTTGTGACTTCAAAAAGGTAGCTTTGAATCAATGCATCATTTTTAGCCTTCTTGAATCTTCCTGTGCATCTTTCAGTAACATGATGTTTGTGATTCAGAATTGCCACATCAAGTAGAAAATTACAGCTGGGTTGGGATTTTTGTTTCTTTGTCCTCTCATTTATAAGATCAGGGGTCATAAGGAGGTAGCAGCGTTTGTCTTCTGAGCCGTGTAATGGTGACTGGTTAGATAATCAATGTGAAGGAGGAGGAGGAGATGGAGAATCTATGTACAAACAGTGTAATTCAAGTACAGGAAAAGCATGTTCCCAGATACCTCCAAGTACAGCTTTGGCTTAGTTTTCCAGCATCAGTCACTGTGCTGGATGACAGCAAAGATAGCTGTGTTTTCCTGTCTCATAAGTGGCCAGCAGCATGGAACAAGGACAAGGGAAATGCAGCTGAATCAATTCCTTATCCATGCGCACACATGAAGATTTTGTTGTGATTTCTGCATTTTTCTCATGTGATCTAACAGTGAAAGGCTGACAAATCCAAAACTCCAGAGAGAGCTTCTGTGGAGGAGGGTGGGCAGAAGGTTTTGCAGTACTCTCCATGCCTGAAAAAGTCATCAATGATTCTAATGGTTGCTGTGGGAAGAGGATTTTATTTTGAATGATGTTGAGACAAGGAGTTTTGCAGTTGCTGGCCTGGCCTCTGGCAGCCGTGTTGGGATGGTTTTGGAGGCTCAGCTGATGGCTTGAAACCTGTCATGTGTGGCTGCCAGGACCTGTCCTTGCCTGAGCCATCTCTGATGTACTTTGGACATCACTGGAACCATTTAGTACATTTGTGTGCTACATAATAAATACCATTTGTAGGGAATTTTTGAAAACATACTAAGGAAATTAGCAAGAAAAGCCTTAACACAGAAATGTGAGCTGGTCACTTACCACTGCAACTACAGATAAACTTTGTCCTTGGGACGTTCAAGGGAGTTTCCATTATCTGTTTCTATCTGACACCATGAGGAGAAGGAAAGGAACCAGCTCTGCAATAGTTGCTTATAGAGGAGAGGCAGAGCTGAATCTCCTGGAAAGAAAATTCTCATCTGATGCCACATTGAAAGTGCTCTTTTGATGTTTAAGAGTTCTACAGAAGAACCATTAAAACAAAAATGCAAAGCAAGCTACAGCCCAAAAGAGTGACTAGATGGGTGACCTTGGGAATGTCTGTATCCTCATTTCTTTGTAGTTCTGTGTCTAAAATTTAACAGCATTTTTAACTCCTTGCAAAATCACTTGGATTCTACAGCTGCCTAGTTGATTTATTATAATACAATTTTCTTCACTCTTAGAAGTTGAATAATAATAATAGCACTGAAACAATCTTTGCTTGAGGCATGAATAAAGCCAGCAGAATCTGCCCTGCTGTCTGGACATGAAAATTTCCAAGTGATGTCTTGTCTTCTGGTCCTCTACCAGCAAACCACGAAACATCAGCTGCAAATGAGATTGGAAAGAGTCTGCTGAAGTAGACCAAAGGAAACTGTGAAGTGTCTGGGGTCAGGTTTATAATTGATTCTTTCTGCGCAGCAGAAGGAGCCTTACAGATGAGGTTTTGGGAAATGGGTATTTTTTTGTCTGAGTTGTGTTTGGGTGGAAGCAGGTGATCTGGCTTGGGGGTTTTTTTTTGGTGGGTTTTTTCATCCAATTCTAATTAAAGCTAAGCTTTTCACCAGCAAGAATCCAGCAAATGTCTGCTTAGAGGAGTGATGGAGGAAGGTTTCACTGAGAGCCTCAAATACACCAAAAGCAAGGTAACAGGAATTGAAGCAAAGAGAGAATGGATAGACACAGAAATCCTACTGAGATAAAAGGAACAGATGCCTGAGGAAAGCTGCTAAAGGTGACCACATTTGTTTTTATCTTTTAGCCTGATCTTATTTCCAAATAGATTTTTCTCCATGCCATTTATCTCCACGTTACCAATTACTGTATTGGGACTATCAGCTTACCTTTGATTCCTAATATTGGTTAAGAAATCAAGATGAGTCATATGGGAGCATCTGTCAAGCCTAAAAATTGTTGTTTAAAGTTAATTGATGTGAAAAGCAGAAAAGAATTCTATTTTAGCCCAGCTGTCTATCCTGCCATAGAGCTTCCTACGTGCCACTAGAAAATGCTTTACAGTTTACTGAACTTGCTAGATATTTCTATGTTCCAGTTGATAGTTTGTCTGAAAATAGCAGAAGTTGATTAGAGGGAAAATAGTAGAAGCATTATGCAGATTTTACAACGAAAAAGAAAATTGTGCTTTGAATTTGTGAGTGCATGTAATAAAGCTTCTGGAATGGTCTGACCTTTGGATGTAATGAAAATAACTGAATTACAGGAAAATGGCACTGGGGACTGTGGGGTTTGACCCATCAAAGTCACACTTGTGTCCTTTGAGAGCTGTAGCTGCGGAGTTGAGACATGAATGCCTCATCCTTCAGGGATTCTGGGCATTCCCAGGTCCTGG